ATTTAATTAATACAGTTATCCTGGATATGTTGGGCGTTGTATATGTAGTTAATACAGTCTCCCCGAATGACCCGGGCACAATTAAAAAATATGCCCGGGCATGGCGGGCACGTCAAACGTCTGCCCGGGCAACGTCGAACGTCTGCCCGGGCAAGCCGGGCACACGTCAACGTTTGCCCGGCCATGCCGTGTACAGGGCAGATTAGCCTGTGCCGATATAAACACAAACAGGCACTAATGATGCATATTATGAATTAAAATTGTCATTTTAACTTTACAGTATTATTGTAAGGATATTTGTAAATAAAGCTTATCTATTCAATATTAGACTATTTTTATGATCTATAGCATTTAAAAATAAACATAATAGATAGACTAAAAATTAATTATCCGATAAATTATTAACACAATTAATGAATAATGAATTATTTTGTAAATGCATATTCATTTTTAATAACAAATTTATTGATTTTAAATTAGAATAGAAAATATAGTTTTAATTATATATTTCATTAAATATAATATAATAAATATTAAAATATAATATTTTTGTTTTAAATAAATAATGTAATATATTATAGAATTAATGGCAAATTAATGATAAGCTGAATTCATTTTTAAAATATATTTATTGATCTAGATTTTATGCTCATCTAAATGTAGATTTAATTATATAATAAAATTCTCAAAACATATTTATAAAGTTTATAAAAATCCTGTTATAATTAAAAAATAATATTATATTTAAATAAAAATGTTGTTTATAAATACAATAGCTAGCTGTATTTATAAATAACTGTAAATAAATCTTTACTATTTTTATATTTCCTAAAAATGCAAAATAAACTCAAATATTACTTAAAACGGAAAATAACGTAATTTTTTAAATATGAAATTAAAACTCATTTTATTCTTTAATGTTTGTTATTTTGATTTTTACAAACGATTATTTGTATTATATAACAAAATTTTAAAACATAATTATTTTACATATTTTTAACCCTATAATCAACTGACAACATAATTTGAGGTTTTCCTGAAGGTTATTTTAAACTGTCATTAAATCAAATCAAATAACAATATAATCATTTTAATACATTGTATTTAAAAACTTTATCATGGATTTATTTTATTGTATAAACTTTTTTGATGAATAACATAAGATATAGTAAATTGATAATTTACATATTGTGATTACTTTAACATGCACGAATCAAGGTTATTAGCGTTAATTACTTAGTAATTATATAATAATTAGTTAATCCAAATTACACTATTATTTGTTTCATGAAAATAAAATGGTATTTAATTGCAATTTATAACAATTTTGTGATTTGGTGATGTACATTGAATTGATAAAAATTATTAAAAATTTACATGATAAGTTTTACTAAATTACAAAGTATAACGTATGCATAACAATCAGTTAAACAATATCATAAATGTTAAGATAAAGTTATGCAACACTTTAAGTTAGATAATGTGAATTATTATTGTAGTTCAAATGTTTTGAGAATTGCATAATTAATGTACCTAAGTTTTATTGCACTTAATACACAATTATATAGTAAGAAATATACAAAATGTACATTTTAAATAAGATTTCAAATTCATCAAGCACAGACTAAATACGATAGTTGTCCTCCAAACCAACCAAAACACAGCTGTAATCCCATAGTCTTTTAGCCGCTTTATCGTCGGTCGCCGTAGAAATCATTTTATTTATTTTACGGCAATTACTGTTAATTAATGAACAAATTAAAATGTTTATATAAACATAAATTAATAAAACTAACTTTTATAAAAAAAATACTTATAAAAATAAAATTTTCTAAATGTAAAAATATTAATTTTCACTAAATAATTTATTTAAAGTAAATTATTGGAGATAAATAAATACAATTAATAACAAATACAGAAATACACAAAATAAATGACACTTACGCATAATAGCACCCAGTTTCATTATCTAGCTGGGGGTCGAGGGCGCAGTACAGTGTGGTCTGGGCGCCCATCTCGGGGGTCAAACCGGTTAGTTTTAGAAATGTTGAGGCGACTGACCTGGTCTCGGGACGTACCGTATTGACGGCACCAGGATGTAGGCTGTAAGTTCGTACCGTACTGTCCGCACCCAATCTATGGGACAACTCACGGCTGAATAATATGTTGGCCAGTTTACTCTGGCCGTACGCTTTCACCGGAGCGTACGCGCCGTTTAGCAAATTTATATTGTCAAAGTTAATTTTGCCCACCAAATGCCCGCTCGATGCTACCGTCACCACTTTACCAAGTTTAGATTTCTTTATTAGTGGTAGTAAATGTAATGTCAACAGGAAGTGGCCTAGATGATATTTAAAAATATTCATTGTTTAACCAATATTATTATATGTATAATATTATAGATTATAGAGATATGAAGTTTATGTATTGATAGTACATAGACAATATTTTATTTAAAAATAAATAGTAACTTTTAATTAATCATGATAATTTTATAGAATATGTAGACATGGACTAGTGTTCTTAGAGTCTGAATACTAAGTCAATTTATCTTGATTAGTTCTAAAGTTATTGGGCGTACAAACATTTTTGTTTGAACACTCTGTTATACACCAAATAGAAATACCCAAATGATTTGTCCCGAACTGCATCTCAAAGCCATCGACGGTTTTGGCCTCCGGTATGAACGCAATGCCGGCGTTATTGATGAGTATATCCACAACCGCTTCCCTATCACTCACTTGTTGGGCAAACCGGCGGACAGACGCGAGGGACGACAAGTCCAACTCCATTACCACTACATTAGCCCCGGGATAAAGCACACGGAGTTCATTGGCAGCCTCTTCGCCCTTATCTACCGAACGGCACGCTATAATCACCTTAATTATAAGCAATTTGATATTGGTTAAATGTTGCCAACACTATTATTATTTAACTAGATGGGAATTACAAAAGTTATGATGATATTAGTACTTGTGTGGACATACCTTTGCACCCCGTTTGGCCAAATCCTGTGCCGTTGCTCTGCCAATGCCGGCGTTGGCGCCGGTAATCACTACCACCTGACCGTCCAGTCGTCGATCGGTCTCCACTTTCCTCCGACGACCGGTTATAGTCTCGAAATATTCTTTGGTTGAAAAACATGTGGCTTTTGTGTAGCTCATGGTCAATATTAGCCAAAAGTAATATAATTCACTAATAATTTTACAAATGAGTAGCTTATATTTATTCACAATTACAAATATATTATTTACTATTATTTCAGTCGTTGACTATCCGTTGGGTTTGATTATATTTTTATGTTTAAAATTTTAATTCATAGCTTATATACTATATTCGCACACTTCATAAATATTCTATTATGGTTATAATATACATAAAGTGCAAAAAGTGCATTTAGTGCAGTCATACTTGCGTAGAGTGCAATAGTAAATATTACATTCAGAATATAAATTTTACGTTGTATTATTATAATAAATGCAATTTGCATATAATAAAGCAATCATATTAATTTAAAAATAAAATATTGATTATAATATTGGCAAAATAACTATGGTTAATTATACACAGATAGACAATGATAAACAATAACAATACAAACTTTGTTAAAAGTAGCTTTTATTTAAACATCATTTTTGTTGTAAAGAATGATTAGTATGAAAACATGTAAATACCATTACAATTGTTGCTAAGAATATTGTCCAAAAAGTTTTCCAAATAAAAGCAAAAGATAGGAATTGAAAACTAGTGCTGCCAAATCATATTTTGAAAATCCTGTATAAATGTGAAAAAATTACCAAAAAATGTTGTATTACAGCTTATTTTGAAATATTTATTCCTGTATTTTTTAATGTACAAGAAAATTTATTCCTGTATTCTGTGAAAAATTCTGTATATTACAGGAAATTCCTGTATGTTTGGCAACGCTGTTTAAAACTTGAAAAAATAATTTAAGATTACGTACACATTTTAATTTAAATAAGTAAATTTATTACATTACAACATTCGCAACATTTATTTTGTTACAATATATTTGAACACATACTAATGATCATAAATTTAATATTTGAATATCATTACAAATACATAGTTAACTGTATTTATAAATAACAGTAACTAAATATTTTATAAAAATGCAAAATACACTTACAATAGGTTTGTTACCAATAGGTTTGGTATTTAATAGATACTATTAAACAATATTATATAATTATTTTATTATTTTGGTATTTAAAAACTATTATTTGCATTTTATAACAATGCAAAAAAGTTTTAAACATAATTAATTTGTCAGATTTTTAAACCTATAAATATTCTACAATAACTTAATTATGAGGTTTTTCTGAAGGTTATTTTAAAATGTCATTAAATTACAGCAAATAACAATATAATCATGTTATTAACGAATTAAATTTAATATTTTTATCATGGATTATTTTATTGTATAAACTTTCTTTTATGAATATAACATAAAATATACTAAATTAGTATTTTACTTACATTGTATTGTGATTACTTAAACATACTTGGATCACCGTCTTTAGGTTAATTGTTTAGTAATTATATAATAATTAGTTAATTCAATAGTAAATCGTTAATTACATTTTAATCACAATCATATTAAATGATTCATATAATGTTAAAAATATATGTTTTTTAGTTAGATAAATAAAAAATTTTAAAAATTCATGAAAATACAGAAAATACACAATACAAGCAAATAATTGATCATTGACCAATTAATTTATAATTTTTATCACACTGCAAATTAACTTTAACAAAAACAGACCTCTTAATAAGTAAAAATAAAGAGTTATAAGTTACTACAATATTATAAAACACTGTCTAATTTCATTAATTTACCGATTTATAACATAATAAATTGGACATGGTAAGTCTTAGCTGGTGTCCTGCCAGGCGGCCGTTTTAATAGGCGGTAGTCTCATGTTATCGTCAATGTTAACCAATTCACTGCTCAATTCCCACAGCCTTTCAGCGGTCTTATCGTCCGTTGCCGTCGATATCATGCGATCGACTCGACGGCAGTTTCTGCCAATAAAACACATTTTTATTATTAAATTTTTTGTTACAAATGTTTATTTATAAAATAAAATAATTTTTTAAATTTATAGAACAGCACTTAATTAATTAATCTAGAAATTATATACATACTAAAATTGAATTTTTAAAATATTGTTAACTTATAAACGTTAACAGTAATAAATACCTGTAATCTAGCCATAATAAAATTAACTTACGCATAAAAGCACCCTGTCTCATTATCCAAACTGGGCTCCAGAGCGCAATAAACAGTGGTGTAGGCGCCCTTATCTGGGGTTAGAAAAAGTTTCTTGGCCAATTTATCACCAATAGATCCCATGTCTGAATGGCGGAATATTTCCGTATAAACTGGTCCCGGATGTAGACTATAGGTGCGCACCGTTGACTTAGTGCCCAGTCTACGGGCCAACTCACGGCTGAATAATATGTTGGCCAGTTTACATTGGGCGTACGCCTTGAACGGGGCGTACGAACCGTTATGGAGGTTTACGTTATCGAGGTCAATTTTGCCTGCCATGTATGCGGTTGATGACACTGTAATCACCCTGGCCGATTGACTTTTCTTTAATAATGGCAACAGTAGTAATGTCAACAAAAAGTGGCCTACAATATACATGTGTATTATGTAAAATGATAAATATTTTGTAATATAAAGTATTTAAATAATAAAATATGTAAGTAATTATTCTATTTTATTATTTAATTTGAATAATGCCTAAACAAAATCTGATTAAATATTTAATTATTGTACAGAACTGAAAAATTATATTTAGTCAAGCATTCAAATTATTACAACAAGTTAGAACATTTATAGCTTAATCTAGGAATCGGCAGTACTTTTATTTTTAATGAATACACTATAAATTAGCGAAAGGCTAGAATCACTTCTAGGATTATAAATAGTATTTTACTCATATATAATGTGACTAATATGAGTGGTGGGGTTTAATGAAATGTGTGATTCATATTGATATCAAACACAAATGATTTACGCTTTAAACCATTCACGTATATTTCAAGGGCAGGTAATGATTAGTTTAATAGTAATCTTTATAGTGTATGATAATCAGGGAATTGCATTTACCTATACCACCTATTTTTAGCGGTTAATAGTCTTACCCCCAGACTCGGGATGTGAACCGATCATGTATTGGGGGTCAGTTTACCGAAAGTTTATTTTACCTATAAATGACTATTTGACACGTAA